AAAATACGATGTGTTTTCAACTAGGCTTGGTCTAAGTCTACACTTGAAAAATAGAGCCACAGGCACTATGATTTAAATATCTGAGGAAAACAAGTGGTTTAAATCTCTAATTCACAGATCTCTAATCCTTATCAAAAACAGTTTTTGTTTTATGGTTCTATTTTTTCTTTCTGACAGCAAAAGAGACTTCATTCAATGATGTAGCTGTTGTTTTGAACAAAAAAACAATGGGTTAGGTTACAAGGCTCCTGGGCCAAGCATGATTTAAGTAAAACAATGCTCTGTTCATAAATGACATTTAAATAATATAATCATGACTCATGCCAAAGCCACTTTAATTTCTTGAAAAATAAAAACAACTACGGTATATTTAAAGGACTTTGGCAAATGTGATGGCAAAAGAAAAAACAGTCTCTGAAATGAGACACTGATTTCATAATGAAAATCATTATACCAAGAAGCTTTTGTCCACTACTTTGAAATACAATTCAGTTCAGCATGTGAAATAATGTGTTTGGGGGAACTCCACTGTGTTGACTTCCATCAGCCACTTCGCCAGCTCAAAAGGTGAGCTGGAGCCACGGGTCCCATTTCCTAGCTAAGAAGAACCTGCCAAGGCCAGGTAGAACCTTTAGTGTTTATAAACAATCACTGAATTATGGAAGTACTTGAGAGATGTTCTGGGCCCAATCTCCACTTTAGGATGATGAACATAAAGCTCAAAGAAATTAATATTGACAGTAATTCATTCATCCAGTCTGTATTTATGGAGTTGCCTATATAGTGACACAATGGTGAGAAGATTAAACACGGTGCCCACTGTCAGGGAGCTTACCTTCTAGCGAAGAAGACACACAGATAACAGGCAAACAAGATAATTTTAAATAATGTTAAATGTGGTGAAGAAGGGGCACCTGGGCAGCTCAGTTGGTGAAGCGTCCAACTTCAGCTCAGGTCGTGATCTCACGATCTGTGGGTTCAAGCCCCGCATCAGGCTGACTGCTCAGAGCCTGGAGTCTGCTTCGGATTCTGTGTCTCCCTCTGTCTCTGACCCTCCCCTGCTCGTGCTCTGTCTCTCTCTTGCTCTCTCAAAAATAAATAAACATTAAAAAAAATTTTTTTTTGGAAGTGTGGTGAAGAAAATGAAATGGAGTCATATAAATGAGAGTTTCTAAATGGAAAGGAAAGGCCATTCTGAGGGAAATGCCACCTAAATGATGAGAAGGAGCCAAGCCATGGAAAGACCAGGGAAGAGGATCCCAGGAGAAGAAAGAGCAAGGTGAGAGACCCTGAAGCACCATGGGGCTGCGAGTGAGTGTTCCAAATGTAGCCAAGAGTGAGCCAAGGGAGGGCAGCCTCAGGCAAGGTGAGAGAGGGAGGCAAGGCCAGTTCACCCACTGGAGAACCCATTAAAGAATTTTAAGCAAGGAAGTGACATGATTTTAACATTTTCAAAACATCCCTTTTATTATATGGGGAGCCTGTATTGAAGGGGAATGGGCATAGCAGAGAGGCTTTCCAAAGGGAAGCCACTGGAGTTGTCCAGGTGAGCAGTGACAGTATTTGAATGGAAGGATTCACCACGGGATGGAGACAGTAGAAGAATTTCATATTTGCTTTTGAGGCAGATGGACAAGACTTACTTGCTGACTGTGGAACCTAACTCCCTGGTCAGATGCAACTAACTATACTATGCCTAAGAGTTATTGGGTGTTTACTGTGTTAAAGTATGAAAATGTTTTATTTAACCTTCAAAACAGCCCCATGAAGTGGGTATTTTATTAGCCCTGTCTTATGGGTGGGAAAACGAGGCTGGGGGAAACCAGCCTAACATTACAATCCATAAAGCATATAAAATATGGAATTATGTGGCATTTTCTAAAATATTTTGCTTTATTTCATTAAATTATCCCAAAGAATATGTACCAAATTATAGGGGCGCCTGGGTGGCGCAGTCGGTTAAGCGTCCGGCTTCAGCCAGGTCACGATCTCGCGGTCCATGAGTTCGAGCCCCGCGTCAGGCTCTGGGCTGATGGCTCAGAGCCTGGAGCCTGTTTCCGATTCTGTGTCTCCCTCTCTCTCTGCCCCTCCCCCGTTCATGCTCTGTCTCTCTCTGTCCCAAAAATAAATAAATGTTGAAAAAAAAATTAAAAAAAAAAAAAAAGAATATGTACCAAATTATAAAGCAACAGTCTAGTTCCTATGTACTTTCTACTTGAAGTCAGTCACACCACATTTTGAATACGTCAGAATCTTGTTTTCAAACAGTACAGAGTTAAATTATGACAATCCCAAATATTCTTCATCTCCTTTAATATAACCATTATGGCAATGTGTAAAATCTCATTTGTTTTTAGCATGGCACTGACTACCACAGGGAGTACTTGGTGCCACTTCCTAACCCTAATTATGGTAGGACTTGAAAATATAAGCTCTTGTGTTTAAATACGAACGATCTACAAATACATGTATGAAGGAGGATAATTTAAAGTTTATTTATTTTTGAGACAGCGTGAGAGAGAACAAGTAGGGGAGGGGCAGAGGGAGAAGGAGACAGAGAACCCCAAGCAGGCTCTGCACTGCCAGCACAAAGCCTGACACGGAGCTCGAACTCATGAACCATGAGATCATGACCTGAGCTGAAATCAAGAGTCAGACGCTAAACCAACTGAGCCACCAAGGCGCCCCTGAAGGAGGATAATTTTAAATGGGCAGCTCTGTCTGGAAAGAACCAATTGCTAGATCTTTGAGGACTTCCTGGAAGACCTAACCACATTTGAGGCCTGCAGGGCCTGTCTCTAATCTGAGGGAAAATATACCACTATCTCTTTCCCCCACAGCAGCACCCACGTCACACCCTGCTCTGATTCCAGTCCCTGGCCCTCCTCAGTTTATCCTCTCATGCAGCCTATGGCTCCTGACTCACAAACCCCTTCCTCTCTCTTAGCCCTTGTCTGTGCCAGCTTACCCCAGGGAGAGCTTTGGACACTGGCCAGCTTTTCCTCTTCGCTCCCACATCTTACAGCTCACTCTGGTCTAACCTGACACTTCAGATTCTAACCTTTGCTGTCTCCTTCCCTATAGGAGCCCACATTCCTCTCTTACTATTTTATCAGAAGCCCCATTGAGACCTCTTGCACATTGGCCATACTCAAGCATCTTGGCCAATTCCTGGACCTTTTCCATCCTAAGCTTACTGCTTTTAACAACCTAAGAACATTGCAAAGTAAAGTTATCCCCTATAGGTCTGAGGAAGAGCATGAATTCCAGAACAAGATCACCTGGGAGTAAACAGGGGTAAGTTATATAACCATCCTGTGCCTCAGTTTCCTCATCTGTAAAATGGTAGAAGTGACAGTACACCCACCTCCTAGTGTTTTTGGGAAGAAGTAAACGAAAACACTTGTAAAACATTTAAACAGGGTTAGTTATTACCATTATTACATAAAATTATGTTCAGGATAAACACGTCCCTACATAATGAGGGAACCTGGAAGAAAAGCTCACATCAAAATAGTGTCTTTAAGCTTTCTAATTCTTAACTGTGGAGAAGTTAACAAAACCTAACAGCTGGCCTCTATATGCATTTAACCCATTCATTCTAAAAAAAAAAAAATAAATTACAAAACACTTGGGAGTTTAAAAGTATGGACTCGATTTTTTGATTATACTGAACAAGGATTTTTTTTAGCATTTTGCATAAACCACTCTAATCCTCACGAGTTTGATGGCAGCAGGTATCCCAAATTGTAACGAGAGATAAACTCAGCCCACAGAGATTTGGCTAGAAGTTCCCTAACATGGAAAAGCAAAAGCGAGACTGAAACTTTGGGTGGTTGGCTTCTGGAGTATTTGAGGAAATCAAATTTACATTATTCTTGTTAAAAATGTTTTTGTTGTTCTCTAAGTATGGAATGTAAGAGCATGGACTCTCAGGCCAGGCAAGGAGTTCAAATCCAATCTCCGCCACTCACTTGCTACGTGACCCTGGGAAAGTTACCTTTCCTGTGTCTCAGTTTCCTCATCTGTAAAAATAGGGGGACAATACTAACACTGTGAGCATTAAATGAGGTATTAGGTGCAAAGGGCTTAGAACACTGCCTGGCACATATAAGCACTCAGCTAATGATAACTGTTGTTATTTGCAAGTTGCAGGCACAAAGCATCTGGTATCTGGGAACAGACACCTCTCAAGGAGTCAGGGGAGAGTAATCCCCAGTGTGGCATTTTCTGAGGGGCCAGCAGGGCCTCCCCATGCAAACTGTTCCCTCCTAACTCCCACCTACTTGACACTTTAAACGCACTGAGAAGGTGCCTGCCCCATGACACCACATGTGTTTATGTACAGACTGTCTTCATTGAACAGAGAATTTCTTGAGAAGAAAGGCCCTGACCTCCTCTGTTTCCTTAGCAGTGGAACTGACACTGGCACTAACAGATGCTCCATAAATGTGGGATGAATAAATGAACAATCAGTCCTCTAGATGTTTAGTAGCTTTAAATTTTAGGCCCCTTATTAAAATACAAGCCCCTCTAGGGGCACCTGAGTGGCTCAGGAGGTTAAGTGCCATTACTTCAGCTCAGGTCATGATCTCACAGCTCATGAGTTCGAGCCTTGCATCTGGCTCCGTGCTGACAGCTCAGAGCCTGAAGCCTGCTTCAGGTTCTGTGTCTCCTTTTCACTGCCCCTCCCCCACTCACACTGTGTGTGTGTGTGTGTGTGTGTGTGTGTGTGTGTGTGTGTGTGCCTCAAAAATAAACATTAAAAAAAAAAAATACAAACCCCCCTAGACACTAACTCCTTAAACATGTTAGCAGCAATTTGTGACAATTACATCTTCCCATTGCTCATTCTTTTAGCACATTTCAGCACCATCTAGTCCTACAACCACAGAGCAAGGACAAATCACTTTATTCTGAAATATGGCATAGGGTGAACTCTGCCTAAAAAAAAAAAAAAAAAGGTTTTACAAATAAAAGCATATTTCTAAAATGCTTACCTTGCCTCATAAATGAAAGGGCTTTTTCTTTTAAGTTTTCTGTCAGTTGTTTCTTTTTAGTTAGGTAATCCAAAACATAAATATTTGGAGCAAAATTTATCATATTCTGTTCACCACAGCCATAAGGCATCCGAATCAATGAGGCCAAGCCATTGATGGAAGAACCAAGGATATCCCCTGAAAGCACAAGATATTCAATACATTCAGCAAATACTCAATAACTGTACCTCCTGGTGGCAATGAGACTCCCATTAAGTACAGAAGGCATCGGACACTGACGCAATAGTTATTCCACTGCTTGGAACAGAGTACAAACATTACATCAAACTTTTAGGAAGACTGGCCAAATAACTGATAACACAGTGGCAATGAACTTGTAAATTATGTGACACATTAGACTCTTAGCTCAGTTAAAGATGTGGCATACACTAGGCAAAAAATAAGTTTAAAAAATAATTCTTGGACAAAAATATGTCAGGGATTGATCATCAGGAAACCATCATTTTTATATAGGAAAGGAATGTTTTATTAGTAGTATTCTTCACATAGCTAGAACCTCATTCTGATTTCTTACTAAGACACTATAAGATTTTTTAAGGGCAAGGCTTAGAGTAGTTTTCACTGTGTTCTATTTAGCAACAACAAAGTAGAATTAACCAGTCAAAGTCTTTCAATGAATATCACAGTCAAAAAGGATTAGGAATAGTCTTCAAAGTTAGTAATCTAAAATTAAACAAAATGCATGTTTAAGAGACACCTCTATCCAAATTCTAATACCATGACTGGGGAAACAAGTAAAAATTCAGAAATACAGAGGCTGAGTTCTAATTCTGACCCCACTGTGGTTGAGCTGTATGGAGAAGAACATTCTTCTGTCTATTATTATATTTTAGAAATTTACACCATCCCAAGTCCAAATACTTAGTGAGCATCTAATCCTAAAATAAAATTTTTAAAAATGAATCTAAAAAATAAAGCCCTCTTTTAAATGAATAAGCTGCAGCCATGCTAGCATATGATGTCTTAAAGTTTAGCTGTTAACACCCGTTAACACGTTAACAGATGTTAACAGAAAAATAGAGGTTATATTATTACCACTTATGCTTTTATGGTTTCTAATATTTAAAATGAACATAAACTTAGATTCTCCATATTCAAAGAAGCAAACTAATATTCACACTAATATTCTGGGCTACTAAATAGATTTTTTTTAATAAATATCATATAGGACCACCTGGGTGGCTCAGTTGATTAACTTCAGCTCAGGTCAGGATCTCACAGTTTGTGAGTTTGAGCCCCATGTCAGATTCTGTGCTGAAAGCTCAGAGCCTGGAGCAGGCTTCAGATTCTGTGTCTCCCTCTCTCTCTCTGTCCCTCCCCTGATCACACTCTGCCTCTCTGTCTCTCTCAAAAATGAATAAACATTAAAAAGAAATTTTAAAAAATGTATCATATAAAAATACAACTTGAAAAGCCATTCTTTGCGCCACGGTTAAAAATCAAACCTCAACAGTATTTCAGTAACCAAAGATAGATTCATTCAATGTAAGAAGTGGTGGTATACATTTGAAATTCAAGTCTTCTTCCCTTTGTGTGTATGTGTGTATGTGTGTGCATGTGTATTGCATCCCCTGTGTGCGTGCTGCACCTCCCAGCATCACAACACTGTGGGAGAATTTATTCCTCTAAGTAGAGAGGTTATTTAATTCTTCTTAAGAATTATACCCAAGGTGAACGAGCCCCATTTGGGGCTCCATGCTGTCAGCACAGACAGAGCCTGCTTCAGATTCTCTCTCTCTCTCTGCCCCTTCCCTGTTCTCTCTCTCTCTCTCTCTCTCTCTCTCTCTCTCTCTCTCACTCTCAAAATAAATAAACAAATACTAATTTTTAAAAAAGAATTAGGGAAGCCTGGGTGGCTCAGTTGGTTGAGTGTCTGACTTCGGCTCATGTCACGATCTCACAGTTCATGAGTTCGGGCCCCGCATCAGGCTCTGTGCTGACAGATCAGAGCCTGGAGCCTGCTTCGGATTCTCTGTCTCCCTCTCTCTCTGCCCCTCCCTTGCTTGCACTCGGTCTCTCTCTATCTCTCTCAAAAATAAATAAACATTAAAAAAAATTTTTTTTAAGAATTATATTCAAGGCTCCCAAAAAGTCCTCTATGGAGGGCTTGGTTGTTAGAGTTATAATGGAAAACACTACACCTACAGATGAGATTTAAAATAACTTCTGAAAAAGTGCCTTAGGTCCTGACATCTTGAAGACCTAACAAACTATTTATATTCGTTAATCTTCATTAATCTAAACATTTCCTTCGGTTATTTGTAAAGCACAACTATATAAACAAATCGTTTGTGTGGAAGCTCTGTTTAACAGCTGATGCAAAAACACACTTAGGTTGCCAGAAGGTGACTAGGACAGGGTGAAGTCAGTGGCTTGCTTCCTGTTATAAAGGTTATCTGTGTCCTGCACAGAGAACTGCTCTAGGCAAGAGAGCTCAGCGTTTGGTCATCAGAAGCACTTGTGGAGCCTTTTCAAAATATACACACCCTAACCATAGCTCAAGAAATGCTGATTGCGTAGGTCAGAAGTGCAGCTCTTACAAAGCTCCACACAAGATTCTGATATTATCAGTGGTTGAAAGCCACAGAAGCCAGAAGCTCTGCCCTTAGAAATACTCCCTCCCTTGGGGCCCCTGGGTGGCTCAGTAGGTTGAACGTCTGACTTCGGCTCAGGTCATGATCTCATGGTTTGTGGATTCGAGCCCCGAGTCGGGCTCTGTGCTGACAGCTCAGAGCCTGGAGCCTGCTTCGGATCCTGTGTCTGCCTCTCCCTCTGCCCCTTGCCCACTCATGCTCTGTCTCTCAAAAATAAACATTGGAAAAAAAAATTTTTTTAATTAAAAAAAAAGAAAAGAATCCCTCCCTCAAGCCACATTATAAATGAGCGCTGCTAGTCAAAGAGTGATCTTCACACACATCAGAAGCATCAACATCAACTGGGAGCTTGCTAGAAATGCATAATCCAAGGCTCCACCCCAGGCCTACTAAACCAACATCTTCCTTTAAACAAGATCCCCACGTGGGGCACCTGGGTGGCTCAGTTGGTTGAGGGTCCAACTTCGGCTCAGGTCATATCTCACAGCTTGTGAGTTCAAGCCCTGCATCAGGCTCTGTGCTGACAGCTCAGAGACTGGAAGCCTGCTTCAGATTCTGTGTCTCCCTCTCTTTCTGCCCTTCCCACACTCACGCTCTGTCTCTCTCTGTCTCAAAAATAAAGAAACATTAAAAAAAAATTTTAAACAAGATCCCCACGTGATTCAGATGCACACTGAGATTGAGAACTGGTCTAGGTAGAACACATATCTGCTAGTCTTTCTACTGTAATCAGTAGTTGGTACCAACTAAAAACTTTAGCAACCTCTTCTCATTAGGACTAAATTAGAAAATACATCTATAATAGATAACAAATGTGTTATACACACACACACACACACACACATACACATAAACCTGCAGTCATGGCAATATATTGTATTCTTACCAATTGCAGTGATCTGAACTCTTTCACTACCACTCACTGTGTTGGGAGGAAATGAGAAACTCAAAGTTTTCAGGGGAGTTTGTAATTTGTGGACAGTCAAGTCTAACAAGATGGATTGTGAATACAATTTTTCTATTCCTTCAGCCTGTTGGAAAAAAAGGAACACGATTAACATGGTCTCCACTCATCCGTCTACAGAGAGTTTTATGCAAATAAGATAAACATCTTGCCTGCAGTGTCTGCACTATGTGTACATTAGGTAAATACCTACCATTTTTGATTCCTGCTTCAAATCTGTTAATAAATGCTTACTTTCTAATTAAAGTAGATAAAACATTTCATGAAATAGCAATTGAGAGGTGCCTGGATGGCTCAGTCGGTTAAGCATCCAACTTCAGCTCAGGTTATGATCTCACAGTTCGTGAGTTCAAGCCCCATGTGGGGCTCTGTACTGACAACTCAGAGACTGGAACCTGCTTCAGATTCTGTGTCTCCCTCTCTCTCTGCCCCATCCCCACTCATGCTCTGTCTCTGTCTTAAAAATAAATATTTAATAAAGTTAAAAAAAAAAGAAATAGCAATTGAAATGATAAAGGAGAAGATGAAAAGGTAATGATAAAAACTCTCTGAGGTAAATCCTATTATTATCCAAAGAGAGATTTAAAAAGGGAGAGAGAGATCAAACTCCTTGCTCAAAGTCACACTTGACAGAGCTGGCATTTGAACCTAGGGCTGTCTCACCCCAGGACACAAGTGTTTACCCACCAGGCTGAGTTTTTCTGCATAATGCCTTCTCTAACGAAAAATCTACAAAATTGCTTCTAACTATACATTCAAAATACATAGAACTGTAGATTCAAAATCTACATATCAACTTGGCATGATTTTTTTTTATTTTTTTAATGTTTATTTAATTTTAAGAGAGAGAGAGACAGAGTATAAGCAGGGGAGGGGCAGAGACAGAGAGGGAGACACAGAATCTGAAGCAAACTCCAGGTTCCCAGCTGTCAGAACAGAGCCTGACACAGGGCTCGAACCCATGAATCATGAGATCATGACCTGAGCCGAAGTCAGACGCTTAACTTACTGAGCCACCCAGGTGCCCCTCAACTTGGGGTGATTTGATAGGACCCTAATGTAAAACAGTTTGTAAATGTAATTAATTTGCTAAAGAGAGATTTGCTACATAGACATATCATAAATTTGAAGAGGAAATGGGTGATTACTTCCAAAACATATTATGTATCTTTACACACAGATGAGATAACAATTAGACAATACCAGGGTGGAGGAGATGACCTACTAGATCTTGCCAACAAATTTAACCAAGAGAAAAACCATCTTCTGTTTCCTTTTTAATTATATATTTCCATTTCAATTATTCAAGACTTCAAACATTTACCTTTACTAAAATCCTCTGGGTGACAGCATCAGAAGCAGCAGGTGAAATGGCCGTGACTGTGATTGGAATTTCCCCCAGGTGTGTTGGCTTGACTGGGAAAACAACAGTTGCCCCATCCTCACTGGGAACCAGAATGGTCTGCTGGTGTCCGGTCGCATTTATTTCATTTAAAGCCATTAAAATATCAAATTTGTCACTTTTCTCAATGATTACTTGAACCTGGAAGGAAAATTATCAAAAGTTTTGTATAATAAACGCTCATAAGTAAAGTGTTGCTTTAACCACATCAAGTGCTATTAAATCCATGAGGCTCAAGACTGGAGAAATAGGAGACAGAGATTCAGCCAAGAAGAGGATGAGAAGGTTATCAGGGAAAACTTCATTTTCCTATGTTCTCCTCATCCACTTCAAGATTTGTGGGAAAAGGGCACTCTTCGGTTCCATTTCTAACATTAAACTCCCACTAACATTAAATTCTGTCATCATCCGAAGGCTTTGAGTGGGAAGGATGTGCCCAGAAAGGTTATTTCATGTCACAGTATTGCCACAAGCCTGATTTAACTGCATCATCCTAGGACACTGGTCCCATTAGAAAAACCTAAGACAAACAGGATGCAGGGTTATTACATCTATTGAGAGTCTTGGCTAAAATTATCCCAAGGAAAGAATGATGCAGACATCAGTCCTAAAGCATATGTTGGTTGTAAACTTGTGTAAAGTCTGTCAAAGTTGCCAGTCTTGCCAAGGATGGCATTTATCTAGGCCTTACACTTCATGAATTGTTTTCCATTTATTTTCTCATCTTTTTCTCAAAATACTTTGTGTAGAAACAAGAATTATCATTCCCATTTTACATTAAGTTATTTGCTGGTAAGGGGTAGAGTGGGACATCGAATCCAGGCCTTCTGATTCCAGATCTTCTGCTCTTTTCAAAGTATCATTGTTGACTACGTTAAAAAGTACAATTTAAAAATAATTTACAAACATAGTGCTTAATGAGATTGTGGCATTTTCACTTAACGAAGTTAATAACATAGTCCTACTTACTCTGGGGGGAAAGAATTAATCACTTGGTTAGCACTACAATGGGCACAACACAAACGGTGGCCTAAGCCTGCCTTCCAGGGAACTGACTAGCTAAGGAAACATTAGGCACATGACTCAAAACACAAAGCCTTGTTTTGAATATGTTGTATTCAAAACAAAATACATTATAAAAACATGGAAACAACCTAGAACAGAATGGGTGAGGAAAGATATCCTAGTTTTATGCCAGGTCTTGAGAGGAATAAGTCAAGGAGCACAGAATGGCAGTGCAAAGGGGCAATGCCTCTAGATGTGGGGAAGGCTGGGAAACAGCACAGGGAGTCAGGAAAGACACAGACCTGCCTCACATACAGTAAGGAACTTACGTGGCTCAAGTAGAAAACATGTGCAAGAAATTAAGAAAGGACAGACACACTAATACAATCCTTAGACATTAATAAGTAGAAGAAATTACTGACAAAGTGTGTTTATTTTCAATCTCTCAGAAATGTATAAAATGCTTACATGCCCAGATGCCCAAACATTAATAACCCTGTGTGTTTTCTCCATTTTTTTCCTGAAGTGTGAATGATTAACAAAACTTGTAATACATTACCTCAGTGGCATCTTTCAAATAATTGAATATGGTTACTTCCAAAGCAAATTCTTCACCTCTGATAACAGAGTAGGGAAGATTCAAAAAAATGAAAAATGGCTGGAAGGCTTGTAGCTGGAAAAAACACAATGAATACATATTTTATTGAAGTCAAAATGCTTCATATTACATGCAATTAAAAGTAAATCTCACAAAACCTATGAAGCCTATAATTTCACATAGAAATGGCCACTTGCCGGGGCGCCTGGGTGGCGCAGTCGGTTGAGCGTCCGACTTCAGCCAGGTCACGGTCTCGCGGTCCGTGAGTTCCAGCCCTGCGTCGGGCTCTGGGCTGATGGCTCAGAGCCTGGA